TAGATTTAAAGAAAATTATGAAGAAAGCAGGGAGTTTCCATATATCTTGTGCTCAGTCTTTTCTATTATTAGCATCTTCCATTAGAGTATGGTCTATTTGCTACAATTAATGAACCAATACTGATACATCATTATTAACTGAGGTCCATACTTAATTTAGACTTTCTTAGTTTTTAAAAATTGTGATAAGATAGAAGAAAACAAAAATTTACCATCTTAACCATATTAAGTGTTCCGTAGCATTAAGTATATTCATATCATCGTGCAACTGATCTCCAAAGTCTTTTCATCTTGCAAAACTGAAACTCTTTACCCATTAAACCCATCTCCCCATTTTTCCCTCGCCCATCCCCTGGCAACCACCATTTTACTTTCTATTTTTGTGCATTTCACTACTCTAGATACCTCATATAAGTGGAATCAAATAATATCTATCTTTTTGTGACTGGTTTATTTCTCTCAGCATCATGTCCTCAAGGTTCAACCATATTGTAGCATGTATCAGAATCTCCTTCCTTTTTAAGCTTGAATAATATTCCATTGTATGTATATACCACATTTTATCCACCCATCCATCGGTGAGTACTTGGGAGATTTCCGTTTTTACTTAATGTCCTTTGGCCATTCCAGGATCTAACACAAATGTAATCACATTACATTTAATCATCATGTTTTCTCAGGCTCCCCTGGGCTGTGACAATTTCTCAGGCATTCCTTTTTCTTTTTTCTTTCTTTCTCTCTTTTCTTCTTCACTTATTCTGTTTGTTTGGGGTGTTTTGTTTTGTTGTTGACCTTGAGAATATTGAAGAGTGTGCTAACCAGATGTTTTGTATGATGGCCTTCTATTTGGATTTGTCTGATGTTTTTCTCATGCTTTGATGAGGGCTATGGGTTTTTTGAATGAAGACCATGCAAATCAAGTGGTCTTGATCTTGATTTTAATCACATCACATCAAGGGTACATACTATCTACATGACTTATCACTGTTTATTTTTTTTTTTAATATTTTTATTTATTTCTAGGAGAGAGAGAGAGACAGCGTGAGCAGGGGAGGGTCAGGAGAGAGGGAGATACAGACTCTGAAATAGGCTCCAGGCTCTGAGCTGGCAGTCAGCACAGAGCCCGACGCGGGGCTCGAACTCACGAGCCACGAGATCATGACCTAAGCGAAAGTCGGACACTCAACCGACTAAGCCACCCAGGCGCCCCAACTTATCACTGTTTAAATAGATCTCGATCGATGGGGCCCCTGGGTGGCTTAGTCGGTTAAGCGTCCGACTTTCGCTTAGGTCATGATCTCGTGGTTCGTGGGTTCGAGGCCCACGTTGGGCTCTGTGCTGACTGCCAGCTCAGAGCCTGGAGCCTGTTTCAGAGTCTGTCACTCCCTCTCTCTCTGACCCTCTCCTGCTCACGCTGTCTCTCTCTCTCCTAGAAATAAATAAAACATTAAAATAAATAAATAAATAAATAAATAGATCTCGATCACCTGGCTGAAGTAGTGTTTGTCTGATTTCTCTAAAGTTATCCTTTCAACTCTTTTCATACTGTACTATTTGGAAGAAAGTCGCCATGCCCAGCCCACACGTAAGGGGTGTGGAGCTAGGCTCACCTTGAGAGCAGAGTATCTACGCAAATTATGTAGGGTTCTTCTGCCTGGGAGATTTATTAAGAATAGTTTTAGGGCGCCTGGGTGGCTCAGTCAGTTGAGCGTCCAACTTCAGCTCAAGTCATGATCTCATGGTTCCTGGGTTCAGGCCCTGTGTCAGGCTCTGTTCTGACATCTCAGAGCCTGGAGCCTGCTTCAGATTCTGCGTCTCCCTCTCTTCCCTCTGCCCCTCTACCCTCTCATGTGTGTGTGAGTGCTCTCTCTCAAAAATAAATAAACATTAAAATTTTTATTTATTTTTTTAAAGTTTATTCATTTATTATTACAGAGAGAGACAGAGTGCTAATGGGGGAAGGGCAGAGAGAGAGGGAGTGCAGAATCTGCTGCTTCAGATTCTCTGCCCCTCCCCCCGCTCACATTCTGTCTCTCTCTCTCAAGAATAAACATTGTTTAAAAATTTAAATAAAAAAATAAAAAATTTAAAACGAAGAGCTTTTACATTTTTCAAAGGCTGAAAATTTCAAAAGAATAATATTTTATGATATATGAAAATGGTTTGAAATTCAGATTTCAGGGACACCTGGGTGGCTCAGTCGATTAAGCGACTGTCTTTGGCTCAGGTCATGATCTAACAGTTCATGGGTTCAAGCCCCGTGTCGGGCTCTGTGCTGATAGCTAGCTCAGAGCCTGGAGCCTGTCTTCGGATTCTGTGACTCCCTCTCTCTGACCCTCCCCTGCTCACACTGTCTCTCTCTTTCTCTCTCTCTCTCTCTCAAAAATAAATAAAACATTTTAAAAAATTTTTAAAAAAAGAAATTCAGATTTCAGAGTCCACATATAAAGTTTTATTGAAACACAGCTGTGCTCATCATTTACATATTGTCTATGGCTGCTTTTCTATGACAACAGTAGAGTTGATTAGTTGCAACAGAGACTGTATGATCTTTGACATCTAAGATATTCACCATTTGGCTCTTTATAGGAAAATTTTGCCAACATTTGCTGTAAGGCTTACAATATGGATTTTTAACTTATAACAGTTTTCCTTCAAATAACATTATATCACTTCATGATAAAAAAGTTAGAAACTTAGGGGCGCCTGGGTGACTCAGTCGGTTAAGTGCCGGACTTCGGCTCAGGTCATGATCTCATGGTATGTGGGTTCGAGCCCCGCGTCGGGCTCTGTGCTGACAGCTCAGAGCCCAGAGCCTGTTTCAGATTTTGTGTCTCCCTCTCTCTCTGTCCCTCCCCTGCTCATGCTGTCTCTCTCTCTCACTCAGAAATAAATAAAACATTTAAAAAAATAAATAAATGTTAGAAACTTAAAATAGTATAGTCCCATTTTCCCTTCCAATACTTTGTGTCATTCTTTAAAGTTTATTTATTTATTTTGAGAGAGAAAGTGCGTGTGCGTGCGAGTGGGGGAGGGGCAGAGAGAGAGAGAGAGAGAGTGAATCCCAAGCAGGCGATGCTGTCATTGCAGAGCCTCGCCTGGGGTTCAATCCCACGAACTGTGAGATCATGACCTAAGGCGAATTCAAGAGGCAGACACTTAACTTGACTGAGGTATCCAGGCATCCTACATTTTATTCTTTTTTATTTAAATAGTCAATTAACTATTAAACAAAACTTTAAGTGAGAAACATATGTTTTATATTTAACCACAACCACATATTTTCCATTTCCGGTTCTATTCATTCTATTTCTGTCTGGCATCATGTCCCTTCTGCCTGAAAAACGTTAACATTTGTCATTGGTGCAGGTTGACTAATGATAAATTCCTTCATTTGCGTGTGTGTGGGGAAGTTTCTATTTCGCTTTAATTTTTAAGCTATTTTCACTAAGCTGGGGCACCTGGGTGGCTCAGTCAGTTAAGGTCTAATTCTTGTCTTCCGCTCAGGTCACGCTCTCACGGTTCGTGAATTCGAGCCCCACATCCAGCTTTGCACTGACCTCACAGAGGCTGTTTGGGATTCTCTGTCTCCCTCTCTCTCGGCCCCTCCCATGCTCTCTCTCTCTCTCTCTCTCTCTCTCTCTCTCTCAAAAAATAAATAAATAAAACTTTAAAGAAAAGAGATATTTTCACTAAGCTTAGAAATCTAGGTTGAGGGGCGCCTGGGTGGCTTAGTCGGTTAAGCGTCCGACTTTCGCTTAGGTCATGATCTCGCGGTTCGTGGGTTCGAGCCCCGCGTCGGGCTCTGTGCTGACCCAGCTCAGAGCCTGGAGCCTGTTTCGGAGTCTGTGACTCCCTCTCTCTCTGACCCTCCCCTGCTCACCCTGTCTCTCTCTCTCTCCTAGAAATAAATAAAAATATTAAAAAAAAAAAAAGAAATCTAGGTTGATAGTACCTTGTTTACTCACAACCTAAAAAATTATATCCTATTGTCTTCTGGCTGTATGGTCTCTGACAATAAGGCTGTGATAATTTTATCTTTGTCTGTGTGTCTGTCATGTCCCTCTCCCCCTCCAGCTTCTTTTAAGATCTTATTGTCACAGACTTTCAGCAATTTGATTATAATGGACCTTGCTTTCATTTGGTGGTGAGCGTTGAGATTCTTGGATCTTTGGGTTCCTAGTTTTTGGCAAATTTGGAAAATGTTGAGTCCCTATTTTTTCGGTTTTCCCTATCTTTCTGGATTTCTACTACAAGAGTGTTAGAGTACTTGATGTCCTGTCATAGGTCATGAATTCTCTTATGTTCTCAGTGCGCTTCTTTTTTGCCCCGCTCTGTGTTTCCTTTCAGATATATTCTGCTAATAGGTCCTCATATAGCTTCAAGTCTACTGCTCTCTTTTTCTGCAATGTCTAATATGCTGCTAATCCTATCTATTCAAAACACATTTAGATTTTGCATGTTTCATCTCTTCAGTTTGTCATTGTTTCTTTGAAGCAATGCTCCTCTGAAGATTTATCTCTGTTTTTAATTTTTAGCAATTTAACGACAATGTGCCTAAGTATGGTTTTCTTGTTAATTACCCTATTTAGCTTGATTCTTATGTCAAGTATAGAAAATTTTCGGCTAGTAATATTATTTCTGCCCCATTATCTCTCCTCTTCTCCTTTTTGGCCTCCAGAAACAGATGTTAGACATTTTATTGTGTTGCATGTAACCATAGTGTTATTTTCTGTGTTCTCTGTCTTTTTATTTTTTCTGTCTGTGCTTCAATCTAGGTATTTCCTCCTGAATTCTTTTCCAGTTCCCTAATTCTTACTTCTGCTCCATCTATGCTGCCTGTAGAATTGTGTAATAAATTCTTAATTTTGGTTATTGTATTTTTTCCATTCTAAGATTCCATTTAATTCTTTATTGTTCATCAATCCCCCTTCTTTTCTGAAACTCTACCACTTTTTATCTATTTTGTTATACAGTATAATCTTAGTCCTTTTCAAACCGTGTCTTGATGGAAACAGCCAAATTTGAGCCTCAGAAGACCTTTCAGTCTACCCAACGCATGATCTCTGTGGTTTTGAGAAGCGAACGTACAAAGTAATTTAAAACAATAAGGTTATGTCTGTGGGGTGTGCGTGTGCGCGCGCGCGCATGTGCTTATTAAGATGACAGTGGATAGGGGCGCCTGGGTGGCTTAGTTGGTTAAGCGTCCGACTTTCGCTTAGGTCATGATCTCGCGGTTCGTGGGTTCGAGCCCCGTATCGGGCTCTGTGCTGACTGCCAGCTCAGAGCCTGGAGCCTGTTTCAGTCTGTGACTCCCTCTCTCTCTGACCCTCCCCTGCTCACGCTGTCTCTCTCTCTCTCTCTCTCTCCCAATAAATAAAACATTAAAAAAAAAAAGATGACAGTGGATAACTGAGTACTTGCTGATGGAGGAATGAGATTGGGTGGAGGGAGATGGGTGTATATAAAGGCGAATCAATTCTGAGCAAGGATGAAGAGATTTTACAACTGGGGCACCAGGCTGTCTCAGTTGATGGAGCATGTGACTCTTGATCTTGAGGCTGTGAGTTCGAGCCCCAGGTGTAGCGATTACTTAAAATTAAAATCTTGAAAAAATAAAAATGACCTTTATAACTATGAAGGTTTCTACGTTTAATCTGAGCTTAAAATTGGAAAGAAAAAAACCTGGATCTCTTGTGAGGTTGTATTTTATATGATCTGATTTTTCTCTTAGATTTTAGGCATTAGTTCAGTTTCTTTGCATAAAATGATAATTACTTTTATGTGATGTCAAGCAATCTCAAATTTATAGCATGGTCCCAAATATAATACAAAAACCCATTTTCCTGACTCACCTGAGGTATGTTGCCACCATCCCCCAGACACTTCAACGCACGATTCCTACGAACAAAGACACCCTCCTCGATAACCACAATACCGCCATCAAAATCAGGAACTTGACATTGGAACATGACTCCCGTCTAATCCACACCTTCCATTCACGTTTCACCAATGATTCCAATAACGCCCTTGCAGCAAAACAATCTCGTATGGAATCACATGTTACACTTGGCTCTCAGATACCTCTAGTCTCCTTCAATTTTGGAACAGTGTTTCCGTCTCTTCTTAACTTCAAGGACACTCTTATAGATGGTAGGTCAGTTATTTTGTAGATGGTCTCTTAAGTTGGACGTGTCCAACCTTTCCTCATGACTAGATTCCATTTGTGCCTTTTATGTAGGAATGTCACAGAAGTGATGCTATCTCTCTCTCTCTCGTTGCATCCTATTGGGTAGTGCATGATTGTAATTAATCCTATTACTCTGCTGTTCATTTTGGCTGCTTGATTCAATTGGCATCTTCCAGCCTTCTCCACTGTCACGTTAACCCTTTCCCTTTGCAATTTGATAAATATTTTGTGGGATAGCACTTTAAGAGCACATCAAGATCCCCCTTCCTCAACATATTGAATGAATATGAAAATACTCATATTTTCACTTCAGTATATTGGTGTTGAGTCATGGATTCCCATTTTATTCAGTAAGTTATAATCTATTAGTATCATTTTATTTATGTTGATGCTCAGAATAATGAGATCCAGCCCATGGAAGCCCCTTTCAGCTGGCTTCTGTATTCCTTCGACATGTCTCCATCATTCTTTGAATACTTATTTTTAGAACAGCTTTATTGAGTATAATTCACATACCATACAATTCACCCATTTAAAGTGTACAATTCAGTGGTTTTTGGTACGTTCACAAATGTGTGCCACCGGTGCCGCAGTCAATTTTAGAACAGTTTCATTGTCCCCAAAGTAACCTTGTAATCTCTGGCTACCATCATCGAGTGCTCCCGTCCCAACTTCAGCCCGAGGCAACCACTAATCTACTTCCCGTCTCTATACATCTCCCTATTCTGGGATTTCATATGAACGAATCATATAATACGTGGTGTTTTCTGGATTTTTCCCACTTAGCATAATGCTTTCAAGGCTCATCCAAGGTGTAGCATATATAATTACAAGAGAACCTCGGATTGCGAGTAACTTGTTCTGCAAGTGTTTCACAAGACGAGCAAGCATTTCCAATACATTTTAACTTGATAAACGAGCCATGTCTTGTACTAGGAGTGATACGTGACACCAAATATCACAACTGAGCCAGTGATTTCTCTCTCTCTCTCTCTGTGGGATTGTGGGCGATCATCTCCCACACTCGGATGCTCAGTCTCAGGCCCAAGTGACCATTGACAAGTTGATGGAGCTGCATCACAAGCGAGCAGCAGCAAGACGCTACGGAGGACGGCAGAGGAGGAGGGGGAAAGGTAGAGGAATCCCTCACTTCAAATGAGATTAGGGAGATGTATAAAACGGGGGAAACGGTGCAAAATTCTGTAGAAAAGCACCACCCGAATAAGGCTGTAACAGTGTGAGCGATGGATTTGTTTAACGACAATGCAATGTCACGTTTCTGTGAAATCCTCAAAAGGAGGCAAAAGCAAGTGTCATTGGATAGTTTCCTTGTTAAAGGTGCAGGAAAAGAAAAAGATCCATTGAGCCAATAGATAGCAGTGATTCCATTAGTGAGAGTGAAAGTCGTCCTACACAATAACCCTCCTCTCTCTTGTCTCCACCAGCCACAAAAGTTTTCAAAGGAAAGTGCAGGTTGGTTTGTTGATTTTTTTTTATATTTTGTATTTACTGTATTATCTTGTATTATATTACAGTATTGTAATCATTTTTATATGAACATCTTGTGGTCGTGGAATGAATCATCTCAGTTTCCATTACTTCTTACAGGGAAATTGACCTTGATAAACAAATGCTTTGGATTGCATGCATGTTTCCAGAACTATTTATGCTCACAGACCAAGTTTTAGTGTACTTCTTTCCTCTTTATGGTTGAATTATACACCATTTTATGGATATAGCATGTTTTGTTTGTTTTCATCAAACAAAACATGAGCATTTTGAGTTGTTTCCACCTTTTGACGATTACGAACAATGTCGCTATAAATCTTCCGGCACAAGTCTTTGTGTGGATACCTGTTTTTATTTCTCTTGGGGTTACGCTTAGAAATAGAATTGCTGGGTCATATGGTAACTTTATTTAATCATTTCTGAGTATTTTCTGGCACAAGATGATTCAGGCTTGTCTTGTACTTTCCCTGTCCCAGCCCTGTAATCAGTCATTTCTCCAAAAAGTTCTGGTTTATTCTGGTGGACGATGGCATTTAGAAATCAAGACTCTAGGGGAGCCTGGGTGGCTCAGTCGGTTAAGTGTCTGACTTCAGCTCAGGTCTTGGTCTCATGGTTTGTGAGTTCAAACCCTACCTCAGACTCTGCACAGAGCCTGAAACCTACTTTGGATTCTGTGTCTCCCTCTCTCTCTGCTCCTCCCTGCTCGTGCTCTGTCTCTGTCTCTCAAAAATAAGTAGACACTAAAAAAATGTTTTTAAATAAAAGAAATCAAGACTTTAGCATAGCATAACATATAGAGTTATCAAATCACAGTGTTATAGCCCTAAAACTAATGTTAACATGGTGTGTCAACTACACTTCAATTTAAAAAAGAAAAGAAATGAAAAGAAAAGGAAAAGGAAAGGAAAGGAAAGGAAAAAAGAAAAGAAAAGAAAGAAAAGAAAAGGAAAGAAAAGGAAAGAAAAGGAAAGAAAAGGAAAGAAAAGAAAAGAAAAGAAAAGAAAAGAAAGAAAAGAAAAGGAAAGAAAAGGAAAGAAAAGGAAAGAAAAGGAAAGAAAAGAAAAGAAAAGAAAAGAAAAGAAAAGAAAAGAAAAGAAAAGAAAAGAAAAGGGGCACCTGGGTGGCTTAGTCTGTTAAGCGCCCGACTCCTGATACAGGCTCAGGTCATATTTTCATGGTTCAATCCTTGAGATTGAGCCCCAGGTCAGGCTCAGTGCTGACAGTGTGGAGCCTGCTTGGGATTCTCTCTCTCCTTCTTCCTCTACCCCTCCTCCCTTGCTCTCTCTCTCTCTCTCTCTCAAAATAAATAAACATCGAAAAGAAAGAAAGAAATCAAGGCGTGGGTGCTAGCTATGTTCATTATCATTAAGATGTCACAGCTCCCCAAACCCTCTCAGTGGGTGAAGCTAGGAAATATATGCATATCTGTACATAAAGGTACAGACCTTGACGCCTGCACACAGTATAAACACCTATAGACACACTTACATCAACAATTATTTCTGTATCTATTTATTTTGAAAATCACAAGTTCTCACCAATTCCTCCAATTCCACCCAACACCGTAGGGTGCATTCTAGTTTTTTCTTCCCTTCCATATTTGTAACGTCCTTTACCAACACTGAGGAACCTGCTTCATCCCCTCCACGTATGTACTTACTGGAGTGGTCCCCATGTGGGTAGCCATGGCCTCATTGATACTGTCTCCCATGCAGAACCTTCCTCAGCCCTCCTGGGCTCCAACACCTGCCTCAGGCCACCCCCATGACCCCTTCCCCCACATGGATGTGTTCTTCACCCCTGCAGGCTCTGACATCCAGGGCTCTGGATGCTCTGCCTCTCCCCAGCCCATGCCTGCAGATGCTTTCCTCACCCCCCATAGACTCCACGTACCAGTGCTTGGCCACTATGTTGGTCAAATGCCCCCTTCACGGCCTCAGGGTCCAACCACTCTCCCTCACTGAGTTGGCTCCATGTGGATATCTTCCTTATCTTGTATGGGCTTCGACATCCCACACCAGAACCTTCCTCCTTGGATGCCCTCCTTTTTCTGCTCGGGAGCTGACATTCAGGAGAGGCCCTCTGCTTGCATGATTGAGATTTGACCCTCTTCTTTCTTTCTCTCTCTCTCTCTCTCTCTCTCTCTCTCTCTCTCTGCAGTCCCACCCCAAACACTGCCTGCCTTGCTCTGGCTGTCCCCCCAAGCTGGGATGCCCTCCTTACTTCACTTGAGTTCCAAAACCATTGCTGGACCACTGCCTTACACAACTACCTGATCCTGTGCTGAGGGACATTGACCTTGGTCCACTCATCTAAAGGCTTCTGGACGGAACTGTGCTTAAAGGGAAGGGAATAGGGGCGCCTGGGTGGCTCAGTCGGTT